TGAGTCGTTTGTCCAGGAGTCCTAGGTATCGGATTTGTTCAACAGGGATAAGTAGGGAATTGTTAAAGGTTACTGTAGGACAGAATAGGTCCACGAAAAAGAGTAAAGGTAAATTGATGGGATTTATTGGAAAAAAAAATTAAATAAAAAAAATCCTACTATGGCATCAATAATCTTACTATAATCTTTAAAAACGGTTTGAAAAATTGATAATTAAAATAGATAGATTTTCTCTCTTAGGAAAGCCTCATTCACCCATAACGATTGAAAATAATCCAGTGCCTTCAAAAAACTATGTACGGTACCTCGGACTCTACTTAGACAAAAGACTTATCAGGAACATATATACTAAATTAAAATGATAAGAACTGTCTAGACGATATAGTCAACTTTCACATCTTCTGGACTACAGATCCTCACTTAACTTATGAAACAAGCTACTGATCTACAACACCATACTGAGTCCAATTTGGACATACAGAGCAAAATTTTGGGATTCGGCAAAACAAACACACGTGAATAAAATACAATGAACACAATAAAAAAATCTACGAAAAATTATCAACGCACCTTTGTAAATTAAAAAAACACTATACATAACGACTTGCACATCCCAACAGTAAAATTCTACACTACATTTCACTCTTCAACTCTAAATCACATCAATCAATTAGTCCTTTCTATTCCTGCTCTCTGTTACCTGATCGACGCAGACTGAAAAGAAAATGGCCAAGGGACGTACTTCTACAATAATAACAAAAATGAAGCTAATCAAGCAAACTCGTAGCCAATGCGCAGGTGCAAATGGCATAAAATTTTAAAATAAAAAAAAAGTGAATGTAAAATTAGAATAATTGTAGATAATAAAAAATTATCTGTGCCTGTTTCATATTTTTCTTTGTATGATTTGAATTGGTAAATCGAACATTCAAAACTCTGTGAAGATGTGTCTCCCTAAAGATTTTGATGACGCAACTTGTAACATACTACCACTGAATGACTTTTATAAAAAATTTGGCATTATGGACTTATCAAATTCTTGTAAATTATTTATCATTATTCGATTATTTAAAAATTAATAATTTGAAGTTATGATAAAACTAAAGAAGACTGGATGTTATCCAACAAATATAATCAGCTGTCCTTGAGAAGCGTAATAGTGAACATCCAAAGAAAAAAAAATTAAATTAACAGCTAAAAAAGATTAAAAAATAAATAACAATAAGATAATTAGGGATATTTAAAATATATTTTTTAAGGAGAAAAATATTAATTATTATTAAGAGACAAAAGCTCAAACCAATGTTTGAAATTATAAATAAATTAAACAGAAAAAAAAATCTAAAACATATCTTTCTTAAATAGAATTAAAACGACAGAATATAAAATATGTTTCGATTTCGTAATCATAATCAGTAACAATGTAGAAGAGACTAATGAATGAAAGATAAGTTATCGACATTCCTAATCCAAATTCATTGATAAATTTGTCATAGAAATTGGAGTTTTAGTTCGATTTCTTATATTTTATAAAAAAATTAAAATTTCAAAAATTTCAATGGTAGCAGTAAATTTTTCCCCTTCTCCCAGGCTTTTGCCACCTCCTCTGAAATTTTTTATAGAGAGAAACAAGCAAAAAAATAAAAAGTTATAGATAACTATTCTGACATTCAAATGGCAATACAACAATAAATATTAAATATTAAACTTAATAATATTTTTTATTTTTTAATGGGAGCGAGATAGCCAGTAAGATACTGTGCTCCTATGTTGAACCTCTCAGATTCGAGTCCGGCTGCGGAAGATATTTATTATTTATACTGTTATATCGACCCAGAGATCCGATATAACATACCGTCTTTCGGGCACTCGCAGCCTCGATACAGTGGGCACTCTTAATTTAATACTTAATTATAAGGAAAAACGCTGGCGACTGATAAAGAATCGATTTCCTTACTAAGGGTTTAACCCAATGCTCTACATGGATGTAATGGTTTGTTAAATTTTTTTTTTTTTCAATTTTATGTTTATAAATATACTTCGGTGATAACCAATGTAGAGTATGCCCATCTTATCTGAAAATATGGATGGTTATAAAATGTATAGGTGCATTTATTATAAAATTCCATTAAATAATTATAATGGTTGAGAGAGAAGCGCAGGGATCTCATAAGACTCCCTTTTCCCTCAACAAGTGGGTGGACAAGTCTAGTTTGAAGTTCCTCTGACTGATTGTAAATAGTGTAAATAGGTATGCCTGCGTCTAAGATGTTTATTTTATTTTTTAAGAATATTTTATTTTAATTTCAGTATTAATATTTTTTTTCCCCAATATAGTATTTTATATTGTTCTTATTTCGCTGTATATTGTTCTTTTGTGATTCTGTAAATATACTGTGATTGTGCTTTATTATAAGAGTCCTTAATTGAGAAAGATTATAATAATTTTATTAAATTTTACTATCAATTTAAAAAGTGAAAAAAAAAATCATAACCTTCAATAATAGGTTAAAAAAAAGTTCTTAGTAATAAAAAATAATCAAATTATAAATTAGACCATGAAAAATCATGTACTTTTTTCCCCTCGTTTTATCGAGTCGATATTATAAATTATTTTTATATCGATATTTTTAATTTGTTTTTTTATTATGGATAGGTAGAAGCAACATATACGCATGCGCAGCGCTGTCCCTTCCAGTCTAAATACAGTTCACTCCATCCACAGTCCACCTTTGGACCCATTGTGAGGAATTCAGATATCACGATTTCATTGTATTAGTATGATTATAATAAATTACTATTTGAAAACTATTATTTTGCACATAATAATTAGATAATTTTAGATAATAATTAGAAGTTCCTAAAACCAGCGCCGAGCTCATCGATGCCATGGGAACCATTCTGAAATGAGAGAAACGAATTATACTTACCAAGGTGTTGTATATTATATACATCATATGGATAGTTGGGAAAAAACAAATAAAAATGCCTAAAAAGCATATTATACATAATCGAGTAGATAAAATATAATTTTACATTAATAAATAAAAAGCAAATCAACCGGTTATCAAAATTAGGTAAATAAAAATCATGAATCTATGTTTTTAGGTTACGATTCCAAGCAACATAATGTTCCAAAAATCTATGGTTTAGTAAAATTTGTATAAATAAATTCTTGAGATTTTTTTTTTTTTTTACTTTTTCAATAAAAGAAATTTAAGCCAAGTTCGTCATACTTAACACGTATAATGAATATGAAATATAATTTATATACAAAAAATAAATAATAGGTACTTTTATAACACATTTTCCTACATTACATTATTTAGTTGAGTAATAAGATGGAATAAAAAAACGTAAATCTATTAAAATTTCAATATATTTTTTAATCATTTAATACAATGCACGTTTGGCCTATATAAGGACATAAATACGTAAATTAGTGAAAATTATTTTATATGATTAGTAAGTTATATTTTATTTATAAATCTTGTGTCTGAAAAAAATTGATATTTTTTATATTAATTTAGTAATAAATTTGTCAAACATCATTTTATTTTTATTCAAATTTATTCTTTTACACCTTCAACGTTCCGGGTTCATTCAGAAAAATACTACAATACATTTACATTGTGATTATAATATTATATTTAGATTTTTCATTAATTATTGTCTTATTATACTTGCCATTTCTTAACTTATTTATACCAAACTCTTTCACTTCTGTATTGTAACTGTATCAATAAGTATTAATGTATATATATTTTTTTTTTCAAAAGCTTTTTATTTAATTATTAAAAAAAACTATAAGGACTGAGTATTTTAAATTACTGGTATTTGTAAATATTTAAAAAACACGTAGGTAATGCATATAATTTCCTTATTAAGAATATATAAATAATTTTAATACACTTCTCTTTTATGAGGTTTGGAATAAAAAAAGTTAAAAATTTAGATAAATGTAAAAAAATATGTAAATTCTCGATATATTTATAGTTGATAAATTTTACATACGTTCTTAGAAACTCTAGTAATTGACCATTAGAAAATTTACTAATACTAATTCCATCAAAATTTTTTTATAAAACTAATTAACTTCCACTATCAAATCATGTGGCGACGTTTCGGACACCTATGTCTCATTTTCAAATCATAAAAGACATGTCTTATGGTCATCAATTATATTTAAAATTATGGTAACTTCAGTTTCGTCATGTATTATTGTTATGAAATATTTTATAATATTACTATTGTTCTCATTATTTTTTTTATCACATGTATCCAAAATACCAATGGTATACTAAGCAATCATTTGTGTGTTAATATTAGATATAAAGTTAATTATTTAAAGAATTGAAATTAGAAGAAATATTAATTTTATGAAATAGTACAGAACTATAATACTTGACGAAAATTAAAATACATTTTAAATATAATTTATTACAATAAGACATGTGTTTTTAACTTTAAGTGAAGGAGCCTAAAACATTACAATGTAATTTGTTAATATACATTCAATAAATTAATTAAAAACAAAACAAGATTTTAATAGCTCCTCTTAGTATAATTTAAATTTTCTAATAGTTATTTTTATGGAATAGTTGTAAAATTTATTAATTTAAATACTTCAAAATTTATTTATGTATTATGCTTATTTATCTATTTCTTAATCCTTTCTGTTGCAAGCCTAATAGAAGAGAAGTGTATGAGAAATTATTTATAATTTGTTTAAAAACATAAGTATTAATTACCTTTTTAAATCGAGAAAATATAAGAATAGAAGTAAATCCAAATGGTCTAATAGTTCATTAAATAATAAATTCTAAGATTTTAGTAAAAATAATTCTAATTTTTAGTGTTTTAATAGTTCACGTTGAAAAAATAAGTATTTTAAATGTTCAATTATTACTTTAAAATTATATTTAGAAAAGTTTCTATTAAAAAGTGATTTATATTTTAAAAAATATAATTTGATAAACTAGGTTCGGGTTTTATTAAACTAGACGAAGCGTGGCTTTGGGCTCCACGTGGCAGTAGCCGGGAACGCCACCACGTGGTCCCCCCACCCCTTCCCCTCCTCCCCACCCCTAGGGGTGGGGGAGGCGGTTGCCGTGGCGACCAACCCCACCCCCTCCCTGCCGCCATTTTCCTCCCCACCACCGCCGCCTCTCTCTACGGGTCCCTCTCACTCTACTCTCTCTTAGGCGAATTTAATCGACAAAATGGCGGACCGGCTCGCAGATTCAACCCCTATATGGGGTGGATATTCGCCACGCTATTCTCGCCAATGGCGAATATTATCTCTTGTATTTAGAGACGTTTTATATTTGTAATAATAGGTTTTTAAACAATAAAAAAAAATTGTATATAAAATAACATTAAAATAGAAAAGTTTATTAAAGAATTTATACAAAAATAAAATTTATCCTTCGAAAATTTGGAGTATAAATAATATGCAAGTATTAAAAAAATCATTATTCCCTAAGTAATAATTAGGAATTTTCTTGCATTTTAATTATGTCTTTATTTTTTTTAATGGAAAACATGTAAATTCAAAACAATCTGTTAATTATTTATATAAAAAAATAGTCCTCAAAATATTATAAAATTATACAGAATTTTAGATAGATATTACAAAAGAAACAGTTCCATACAGATTTTTAAATTTATTATTATTATTTTTTTATACTTACTTTTCGGTTACAACTAACACAGAATATGTCACTCCACGTCAGATTTTTTTTCAAAAGAATAGGCATATACAGAAATATAATTACTTTTTTTAAAAATAATAATACAATATGACACATTAGAGAGCCATAAGTATTGAGGATTATCAACGAAAAATTTAATATATTTTTTAAAAATTACTTCATGTGAAATTATAAAATTTATCACAGTGCAGTATACATTCAGATATTAATACAATTTAAATAAAGTACATATTATATTAAAAATGCATAATAATAAAAAAAAATGTCTGCCGCTTTATACCTGAAGTTTATAGGTTGAATATAAATACTTAATATTTACTTATATCGTAGAATGCAAAATAAAAAAAAAATTATAAATAGTATTACACTTACTTCCAAGACATTCCTCCTGCGTGAAGAATAAATTAAAATAATAAAAATTAAATAGAATATTTAAGTAAGAGGGTAAAACTATTACGCAACAACAATGGAGGGTAAAGGAACAAAAAGGTCTAGCCAGCAACTACCTAAATATTCTTGAGGGCCCTTTTGTAACCACCTCATCACAGATGGCACCACTAACCTTCTCAACACAAACTAGTTTTGTCTTGGTTAACTTAATAACGTAAATATAATTAAATAAATAGATTTTACATACTTATACAATAATTTTTTGATAAAAGAATATTTTATTTATAGTTGAAATATTTCAATAGTATACAACATGGAACGCAGTGGCAGCATATAAAGTTAAGAATTTTAACCATAGCAACAAGTGTTTTTGTTCGTTACTATGCCAACTGGTAAAAATGGCGTTTTTTATACCATTCCAAGTAGTGAACTTAGATCATTAGAAATACTATTTTATTTTTATTATTAATGGATTTTTAAATAAGGATAATTAAAGGAAAAATATTGTTTTTAGTTAGAAAAAAATTACATTTTTTCTTCACTCTTCGAAGTAGTTTTTAAACTCTCATTCAGACGCCATTTTGTCAATTATATGTCTTAATTCTTATATATTAATAATAATTAATATACATTTTGATCTCGGACCGAATTTATTTTTAGGGCTGCGCCCCCCCTCCTCCCCATTTTTATTTTCTACTGTCTTTTTTTAATAAATAAAGTTATAATTAAATTTTAAAAAACACAAAAAAAAAAAAGGTATTCCTAATTTCGGCCTTAATTTTTTTTTTTTAAACTCTTATTTTCATTTCTACACCTGTCACTCAAGCCTGCGACAATAACGGATGTGACGTTATTTGATACAGTTGGCATGTCAGGCATGAGGGAGATCGCACCTACTTTTAACTTGAAATAAAAGAAAAGAAATAATAATCCAGGAGATCTCGTAACCAGCTCCTTTTGTTACTGATACTGACGTACTATATTGAACAAGAAATAGTTTGTGAATTGGAAAGTTTGTATTTTTTGTATCAGAGTAAATTAAAAAAATTAATAAAAAATCTTTTGGAATTTAAATTTAAAAAAGAGCACATTTCGTGAGGCCATATTTACTAAAACAAACGTAAAACACACAATTTACTAATAATAATGGTAATGCTTTCGTACAAAAAATAACCTATAGTTACATACATATTTTGTTTACATATAATTATAAAGAAAATAAATACATTCAGTTAAAAAATAAATAAATAAGATTCCCCTCGTATAGTCCCCTTTTCCCTGAACAAGTGACCAAACCCCTTCGTCCCATCTCCCTTCTCCTCGGTAAGCTACGGAAGGTTAAGTATGCTTACATTAATAAAACTATTTTTGCTGTGTTATAAAATAAATTTTAAAAAATCGTAAAATTTTTCAAGTATTAGGCAAATATCTTTCATATAAAAACAGAATTGGAATATGTAAAAATATTTTTTTTTTGGGGAGGGGGAGGAAGGTATTTTATCCCAAAGCCCTCCTCTTCTCCCTTAATAAGCTAGTGCTCAGACATGAATAGACATATAATAAAATATATAAAATGTTACCAACAAACAATGATAATTAATTTTAACATTTTTATTTTTTTTTTTATCTAACCATTTAGTATTTAAAATTCAAAGAAGATCGCCTTTAATTTATAATAGATCGCCCAGATTTATGCCTACAAGATTTATGATTAGAAGATTCCACGAGTCTTTAAAATAAAGAAGATGACATATATACAGAACTAATTGAATATAACACACATCATCTATATGATTATATATATATATATATATATATATATATATATATATATATATATATATATATATATCTTTATATCCCTTCCTACAGAACTAAAACATTTGAATATTCCTTTATTGCGCGATCCACTGCCTTCTGAAATTCCTTGCCATCCGATATCCGCCATGGCTCTTCCTTGTACTCATTCAAATATCATCTCTACCAATTCCTTATCACATCCCAAAATTACGTACGATGAAATAAATATTATAAATCAAATTTTGTCTGAGGGGAATGATTGTTGAAATTGTTTGAGTTTTAATTTTAAGAATCAATCCATAGTCCCCCATAGTGCTTATAATATTTGTTTTTTTTTTCCCCCAATTTCTTTTTTTTTTATTTAAATAATGTTTTTTTTTATTTGTTTTAATATACTTTCACTGAAGATATTTTATATATTCTTTATTTTTGATTAACGTATTTTTCGGCCAGATGAGGTTTTTATTTTTGTTTATAATTGTTATTCTTAAGAGACCTCGTCCTAGAATAAAGTTTATTTTCTATTCTATATATCAACTGATAAAAATATGTATCATCAAACGACGTAGGCACTTCACTCCATGTCTTCTAATCACATAATTATGTGTATTATAAGATTTTATTTTATTTCCCTTTAGCACTCCTGAGACAAACTTAAATCGTACAACGATCTCAAAAAAAAAAAAACAAAAAAAAATCCCTAAAAGAAGAACCCTTAAAATTTAGTCCATTTATTAATAATTAAAGATGTTTTGAGTTGGTATATTTTCCAGTTACTTCAATTTTATTCTTTTCATTTTCAAATTAAACACCTTTATCATACATCAGTTCCATGTTAATTTAAATTGAAAGTTAAAATTTTTCGTCATAATGTATATATGAAAACTGAATTAGCATTAAATATAATATTATGCCGCGATGTCATCTTGTATACGACATCGTCTTTCTATATATATATATTGTTTAATAGTCCAGTATAATAAATAATAAATAGATTAAATTTGAAGGATGCATATTTTTTATTGTGTTTGTGTTTGTGTATTTATTGATATAAAAATACACAAAACATCCTTGTAAAAATCAATTCGTTTTAAAATAATGAAACATAAAAATTTTCTATTACCTTAGACTCTCTAACAAGGCGATGAAAAAAAAATATCGATATTTGAATGAAAGAATGAAACTATAAATAAATAAAATAAAACTTTATTAAGAAATATTTTTTTAAAATTTCAGAACAAATTTTTTTTTAAAATATGTATGATTTTATAATATAAAAAAAATATTTTTTTTTGCAAAACAGATAAAAATTAAGCACTCTTTTTAAAAACTACTATCTAATCAGAAGTTAAGGAATTTAGTTCATGTTATCTGTAAAGCATAGATTTCTCAAACAATAGATTATAATCTTTAGAAATGAGAATCTGCTTCAATAATAATTGAATTCTTGTAAGTTCGAATTGATAAATTAAAATAAAGTCTAATAATAATCTAATCTGGGAAAGGTCAAAGAAGACGCGTAGTTGAATGGAAGATACGACGTCATTGGATTCCACTCGTGTTCCCGCCTTCTATCGGCCACGTAATATAAAGCCATGCTTTTACGATGACAGTTACTGTCGCAAACCTCGTCTAAACAGTAAGACAGTAGAGATTTTCTGGCTTATTAGTATTGTATTACTGTCGGGAAGTATATAGAGCAAGGATGACAGCTACTGTCACATTCATTAACATGTGTGTAGACGCTTTTAACCTACTAAAAAAAAATTTTCTTAAAAAAAATTAAAATTATTTCTATTCAAAACTTTTACATTAATAAAATTTTAAAGAAGGAATAAAAACTATTTTTTTTTTCTAAATTATTATATATTTGGAACTAGTTTTCTTTCGCTACTCCAATATGGTGGCCGGTTTCAAGACCACCCAGACCAGGCTATTCCCATACTCTCGATGAAGTACCCGTATATTGATAATCCTATTTATATCTGACATAGCTGCCTTGACTTACACGAGATGTTTATATTAGGATATATTTCAGCATTTTTAATACGTAAATATTTAAAATACATAATAAGAAAAATATTCCTTCTTCTAAAAATAAATTGATATATATCTTTTTGACAGGAGATGCAGACAGTCAAATAACAATATATTGAATAGAAATTACTCAAGGAAATAAATAGTAAATTTGTGGTTTCCTTTTGATATATAAAATTAATGAAATGAAATGAAAAAAATGTT